GTCTGTTATATTAACCTCTATTAAATTTTTTCTTATGAAATAATAGCTCGCAAATGTTAGTTATGTTTTAAGGTTTACAAAGCACTATACATGTATATGCATATGGACATAATTTGATTACAGATCCAATGTTGTAGTTTGTCAAGGTATTTTTGGATTCTGATTCTGTTCTCCAAGTTATCTAACACCTTCAATTTCATGTCGTCCCCATACCACCTCATACCCATTAGATTGGCTAAGATGACAGAAAAAGAAAATGACAAATGCTGGAGGGGATGTAAGAAAATAGGCACACTAATGCACTCTTGGTGGAGTTTTGAACTAGTCCAACCATTCTAGGAAGCAATTTGCAATTATGCCCAAAAAACTATCAAACTGTGCATACCCTTTAATCCAACAATAACACTGCTAGGTTTATACCCCAAATAGACAAAAGGAAAAGGACCCATATGTAAAAAAAATATTTATAGTAGTTCTTTTGTGGTGGCAAAAAATTGGGAACAGGATACCCATCAATTGGGGAATGGCTGAATAAGTTATGGTATATGAACATGGTGGAATACCATTATGGTGTAAGAAAGAAGATGGAGAAGGTTTCAGAGAGAGCTGGAAGACTTACATGAACTGATACAGAGTGAAATAAGCTAAACTAAGAGAACAGTTTACACAATAACAGCAATATTGTAACCATGATCAACTGTGAAAGACTAAGTCTGATCCACACAAAGATTCACCATAATTCCAAAGGGCTCATGATGAAATGTTATCTACCTCCAGAGAGAAAATTGATGGCTCAAAGTGCAGATTGAAGCATATTTTTTCTCTCACTCTTTTTCTTGTTCATTTTTTGTCCTTCAGAGTATGGCTAATATGGAAATTTCTTCTGCATAATTTCATATTTATAATGGGCTTTTGTATTTCTTGCCTTCTCAATGGGTAGGGGAGGAGATGAGGGAGGAAGAGACTCTAGAACTGAAAATAAAGTTGAATTTCATGTTATCCTCAAAGCTGATGAGCATGCCATCTATGGCTTCATCAATAGATCAATCAACAAGCATTTATTAAGCATCTATTCTGTGCCCCAGTACTCTGCTAGGAGCTAGGTATACAAAAACAATAATGAAACGGCCCAAGCAGCTTACATCCTACTGGGGTGAGACAACAAGTACATATATAAGTACATGCAGGATAAATAAATTTAAAGTAAATACAGGGTCATTAGGGAAGCAGGGCACTGGCATTTAGGGGAAGATAAGGAACAGCTTTCTTCAAAAGAAACACAAATTCAACAAGCTATCAAGAATTACATAAAAATATTCAAAATCTCTAATAAGCAGAGAAATACAAATTGATCCCATCTATATCTTGTATGTACATAATTGTTTACATGTTGTCTTCCCCATTTAGATTCTGAGCTCGAGAGCAGACTGTCTTTTGCATTTCTTTGTATCCCCAGCACTTAGCACATCGACTGGCACATAGGAGGCATTTAATGTTTATTGACTGACTGACAGCAAGAGCTGGTACTTATCAAGGACTGTATTAGATTGTAAGGCTAGCTTATCAGTGCATGGTCTCAAATTACAAGATGCTGGAAAAGAAATACTCTTGGTCACAAGGCTGAAAGTGCTTACTGTACCCTAGGATGTACAAGAGCAAGTGAGACACTAGCCCTGAAGTCAGGAGGACCTGAGTTCAAATTCAGACTCAGACCAAACATTTGACACTTACTAGCTGTGTGACCCTGGGCAAGTCACTTTACCCCAATTGCCTAAAAAACCAACCAAACAAAAAAAGCAGATGAGAACCAGCAGTCCTGTGGTTCAGCCCTATTTCTGAAACAAGCAGCCTGTCTAGTACAGTGCCTCAGGCTTCAGCTGCCTGCGCTGTGAAGTATATTGTAAACTCCACTGACATTTCAAAAATGTCTAGATATGGGAAGGACACTAGTCTTACTAGAAACAAAAAGTGCCTTTCAGGGCAGCATCAGCCAATCCAGATCGCTTGTTGCAGAACAAGTCACTGGTCAGACTCTAGGAAGCTCCTATCCAGGAGCTGAAGAAAAGTTATATAATACATATGTAATAGACATAATCAAGTGAGCCCCCCTACCCCAATCAATTCTGGCTAGCCTATACCCCAGGGAGCTGGGCCCCTTCTGGGAACATCTTTACCCTGGTCCTTTCCAGTTGGTAATATTTGTTGGGGCAGCTAGGTGGAACAATGGATAGAGTGCCTCGCCTGGAGTTAGGAAGACTCATCTTCCTGAGTTCAAATGTGGCTTTAGCTACTTGCTAGCTGTGTGATTCTAGGCAAGTCACTTAATTCTGTTTGCCTCAGTTTCCTCATCTGTAAAATGAGTTAGAGAAGGAAATGGCAAACCCCAAATGAGGTCACAAAGTCAGATATAACTGAACAATAACATATAATAATACTAAAAATTTGTTGGCTCAGTGCTGAAAAACTTTTTTGGATTAATACAGCAAACCCAAAATAGTCCTTTGATGACTTTCCTCTCCCCTCCTCCAGGGCCTCCTGCTCCCCCTTTTTTTCTTCCTCTCTTTAAAACATCCCTCTCTCTGGGATTTCCTATAAGGGATAGAATAGTCCTGTGGTACAGTCATGATGTTTCTGAAGCAGCTGGCCATCTAGCATAGTGGTCCAGCCCTCAGCTGCCTGAACTCTAACCACAATTTAACTCCACTGCCATAAATCCCCAGCAGAAAAGTTGAGCTGCTTGTACATGGCAGCCAGCACATGCACTGGTCTAAGGTGGCTTAAGACTGGATCTCAAAGCCCTATTTGCCTTTCTCTGCTTTATAATTCTTTCCTGAGGATAGGTGGCCAAATGGCAATCCTGAGATGGATGTTTCCAGTCTTGGAGGAAACCTGGTGAGTTTGAGAATTAAGGAGTTTCTGAGTCCCTTAGCTGGTACCTGAAGACATTATGGAAGTTGACCCCTACATCTACTATACCACTTTTTAGAGAAGATGACAGATAGTTGGAGGATAAGCCCAAACCCTAGCCTGGAAGGTCTATAGTTCATGGTGATATGGAGGCATACATAATGCACACAAATAAAATGCTTCCAGGCTTCCCTTTCCCTTTGGTTGCAACAATCATTAGCAGGCATTGATCAAGAACTCAAAGAAGGTTTATTTTCTACCTAAAATACATATAAGTGGAGGCAAACTTGTCAAAAGGCTGAAGTCTTCTGGAGAAAAAGAATGTATAGGGAACATCAGGGATCCATGATGGACTTTGGGACAGAATTAAGCTGAGTGCCTGCCCATGTTCTCACCAATTCCCTTGCCCCCCCCCCCCCAAGGTGAATTGAAGAAGAGAAACAGCAACAATAGCACCCTCAAGAGGCCTATTTTGTAAAGGAGGTAGAGGGAAAAATAGGCAAGTCTTAGATCCTGCTGGGCCTGGGCAAAGTAGAGCTGAAGAAACATGTGAACAGGCATGTTGAATCTCTTCCTTCTGATCTATTCCAAGAACCCAAGTTAGGGTCTGGCAAAGGAGAGCTGGAAATGGTCCCTTCCTCTCCCAAAGAGGAGCTGTCTGGGTCTCCTCAAGTGAGCAAAGTGCTGGTCTAGATAATGCTACTTATGGACTATTTATGGAGTCCCTGGGTCCCTGCCTAATTGGTCTCCCTGCTGGGCCCCCTCCCTTTATAAGGCTCCAAGGGATGCCATTCTAGAAGCCACACCACCTTACCTACTGTCCTTCATGTGAAGAAGAAACTTCAAATATATATATATGTATGTATGTATGTATATATATGTATATGTATATATATGTTATGGGCAAATTTGGCTTTAGGGGAGAAAAACCCTCACTAAATGCTAGCATATACTGCAAAGCAGTCTACTACAGTCTGAGAATGCAGAGAATCAGCACTGGCCCTGAAGAACTTAAAATTCTCCAGAGATTTTCTTTAATGTGTTTAAATTCCTTAGAGTCCATTAATTAAACTTCCAGACTTCTCTGCCCTCACTTTGGTTGCCTGCATAGGTAAATATTGAAAAGTTAGTTATTGTAACCCCACTCTGGGACTGGAAGTACGGGTAGGTTAAGAAAGATAGCTGGTAGAAGCTGAAAACAATTGTTTAGTAATAGGCGCTGTCCTTCGGCTTTTATCTTCATCCACTTCTCCCCAAAGTGAAGGGTTTTCAACCTGAGAGGGCAGACTCAATCAGAGACCCGCTTCCTTCCTTCTTTCCCCTTATGTCCTGCTCCTCCTCCCCATTTCTCAAGCCCTGACCCCTATCCTCCTATCTCAAAGTAGGTTATAGAAACTAGAATCCGAAGGGCTCTCACTCTCCAGCTCCAGAACTAGCAGGTCCCAGTTCAGTGCTGCAGTGGTTACTTGGACTGTTTCCGCACTGCCCGTGGCTGTCCATTAAATGAGCCGGTGAGACTCCGGCGGCATGTGGCAAAAACCACTGCCGCGGCCGCTGCAGATTCGCTGCGCTCTGGGTTGCCAGAAGGACCTAAGGCAGAGCTCACCAGCACCCGCAGATCTGAGACCTTGAAGGTGTGTCTGGGTCCTTCCCTAAGATCTCTTTGCTAAGAAAAAAAAAGGTCCTCCTAACGACCCTAAAGGTCAATGGGAGAAAAACAGAGCCGAGGTGTGTAACAAAGGACTGGGAGAGGGTCGGGGGAAGGGAGTTAACAACTGCAAAAAGATGCTTTTTCAAACTTTCTCCTAAAGTGGAAAGGGAGGAGGAGGTGGTGCAGTCCGGCTCAGGTGAGACTGAATGGGTGGGTGGTGGACTTAGGGCCAGGGCGCAGGGTCTAGCTAGGAGTTGGGGGCGGGCACGTGTCTTTCTATTAGGGTGACCCCATTAGTGCACCCTAGCAGAGTCAGCGGCCGAGAGAAGGCGAAGAGGAGGAGGAGACGCCCGGTGCCCCTCCTTTTTTCCGACACGTCATGGGGTCCGCTGAGCTCCCCCGCCGCCTCCCGCCCACCCCAGGCGAAGACACAGAAGCAGCTCCCTCGCAGTCCGCACCGAGGACGGAGGGAGGGCGGGAGAGAGCCGGCGCCGTGGCGGCCGCTGTCGCAGCGGAGAAGCCTGCCGGAGAAGCGGAGCCCCGCCTGCCGCCTACCTCTGCAGCCTCAGGAACCCGGGGCTCGGGGTTGCCACTACCTGCTTTCGTAAGTCATCTTGTGAGGGTGGTGCTCGAGTGGGCGGGAGGGGAAGGAGGAACGCACGCTCCCTTTCGCTCTCCATTCCTCTGGGGTCGCAGGGGCCAGGAGTAGGAGGATCCCTCTTTCCCGCAACCAGGAGGTTAGCTCCGAGGGCAGGAGCGGGGAGGGAGCCCCAGCTGGCCCCGGTGATTGGCAAGAAGCCCCTACTACGCCTTCCAGGGTCTAGCCCTCAAGACTTTGGCTTTTGGCTCCCCAGAAAACTTTGGTGCGGTGCTGTGCTCTGCGCTGCCCTACGCTGCCTTACTCTGTCCTTCCTTCCCCTGGCCATTTCTGCCCTGGTCGCACCTGAGGGCTCCTTGTGACCAAGTCCCCGGGCCCTGCACTACCAGCCGGGAGGCGCGGTGGGAAGTGGTACCGCGGAGAGCGCAGGCTGGTGGGGCAGGAAGCCGGCCCTACTGAGTGTCCTTACCCCCCAGCGCCTGCTGTGCTCGCTCCGGCCCGCAGCTGTGTCCGGGGTTAGGAGGCTGCCCGCCGGTAGAGAACTAGCGACGCTTCCAAGTGGAGCAACTTCTCTGCCGGGTGCAGCCGCCAGCCACCCCCGCGCACGGGCTACACAAAGCTCCCCGCAGTTGGGAAAGAGGAAAAAAGGGAGAAGGGAAACGAAAGGAAGGGCAGGCTAGCTCGCGGAGCCCCGGGGACAGCAGAGGCTGTGTGTACGTTTGCTGAGGCCCAGGGGCTGCAGGAACGCACAGCCCCAAGGTTCTCTGGCTTGGGATTTCGAGGGCACCTTGTGAGGGATGGGAGTAAACGGTACAGCAGAGAAATTAACAAAAGGGCTTCCCTTGCACGCCAATTAACTGGCTAACTTGCTGTCAAAAAAAAATGTTTTTGGCAGCCACACCTCCCACCTGAGGCTCCTGAAACCCGCCACTCACCGGAGCATGAATGACCACTTTTCTCTGCTTGCTTTTCTCTCGCGGTCTGAACAAGTGCATTTGCTATTCAGTGTTTCAAAGCTTGCCCCCTGATTCACCGGCAGGGGCTGGAGGCGGGGAGGAGGGGGAGTGGAAGTGCGGATTCGTTCTTTATCTACTCATCTTCAGAGCCTGGAGAACACCTGATGAATGCCCCCCTGACTGAATCAGTTCTTTCCAAGAAACGCACCCCTGCAGGAACCTCATCCTTTCTTCCTAGAAAGAACTGTAAACCCACTGATGTTCGGGTGGGGTGGAAGATTTAGGGACCTTTTTGACACCTTTCAGATATGAATGCTGAATTGCAGGTGAATTATTATACTAAGGGTTTTCTTTGTTGTTTTTGAGAGAGGAGGAGGGTCAGGGATTAGGAAGTGTTTCTTTAAGTAGTCATTGCTTCTCCCTGACTGTTGTGATGTAGTTAATTCTTTTGGGAAAGATAATTCAGTAATCAGAAACTGGAGGCAGGAAGTAGTTCCCCTGGCTTCAAGTGGCTACCCCGATGGATGGCTTTTTCTCTCTAATTTCATTGAGGTCTAGCCTTGGGTTCCTGTCTCTAACTTGCCTGGAACCTTGGGATGAGATCGGAGGAGGGGAAGGAGAAAGGGAACCTAGAGAAGAAGGGTGGGATTGAAGGCATAGCACTGTAGTGACTAAAGTTCCAGACTTAGAGTCAGGAACGCCTGCGCTCAAATTCTGCCTCTAACAGTAGCTATGTGTCCCTGAGCTAGTCACACAGCCTTTCTCCAAGCTTCAGTTTCCTCATCACTAGGTGGCCTCCACCTTTAAATCTATGATCCTGTAAGCTGGGTATAGGATTCCTCACCAAATATGCATTCAGTGACAGGACCGGTACCTGAGTCATAGGTTCTGTAGCTGAAATATGAGTGCATTAATTCACAGCCTTCCTCTTGCAGTTGTGACCTTCAGCGATCATGAGAGTTGGGTGAGGCAAAGTCGTGGTTTTAATTTTCACCTTAAGTTTTTCATGAATGGGAATTGTTTATTTTCCTCCCAGGATCGGCCTAATAGGGAAAATTTAGGGTCAAAGCTGTGAAAGGAGAGAAGCCCCCCTTCATTTTAGAGAATTTACAACTCCAGTGTTTGAAGAGGAGAATTTATTCAAGTGTTATATATGATTTAGCAGGTTTTCATCACTCTTTTAAAAAAAAATCAGACGTATAATACTTATTAGACCATCTGTGACTGTAAAATCATACATTAGAATTAAGCAGCTTTTTAAAACTCCTTTAATAACTTCTCAAAACGGTAAGATCTTTTAAAATAAGTGGATTCTTCCAGAGAGCCATTGCTTTTACTTGCCGTGTCTATAACTACTTTTCTTTGTGTGAAATTACTAGGAAAAGTGGTAGTGTCTTGCCAGTGTTTTATTGTGTGATTATTGTAATTAGCACATAGAAATGAGCCCAGGAGGGGGGGAAAAGTGATATTGTATTGAATATCGTGTGAAAAGTTGAAACAGGAAACATTCATTTTGGTTGAGAAAGGGAAAGATTTCTTCAATTTGACACAGGTATTATTACTTTGGGGGGTAAATACTTGGGTCTTAGTGGATTTTTAAGCATGTTTAATTACCTAATTTCAAAAGCTGCACAGAAAGGGGTACAGGATGATGGCATAACTGAGCATTACATTATAATCTTCTATGTCAAAGTGGCAAAACAAAGTTATGTCATTAAAATTTCCTCTTGTTGGTGTTTAATTCATTGTTCCTGATTTCTGTGGTAGCTGTCTTTGTAGAATTAAATCACTTCTAACATTTATACTTAGTAGGGGGAAATTTGAATTTTTTTTTAAACAATAAACAATATTCTTTGAACCAGAACTTAACTCATTATTCAAATGGATCTCATCTATTTGGGAGTTCCTTCCAACAAAGCAGATAGCAACCTATCCATACCTGCCCCATCCTGTACTAATTTTGTCTGTGTCTTCCTCAAAGTTTGGCACAGAGGGTCCACCCAATGTTTTGGAAGCTTTCCTTGTTTTCTCTGGATATCTCAAAGGTGCCAGTAGAAAACTCTGGCAACCCACCTACCTATCATGATTTGCTCTTAAACCAGTCCATCTGCTCTTTCTGTCATATAATTCTTTAATGACATCCTTTATTCCTATTCTTCAGAATTCTTCATTAGTTATAAGTGACAGCCTACTCACACCTGCCATGAACCTTTCTATTGCCCTTTATGTGATACTCATCTTTAGTTTCTTCAGAAGATGTGGTGTTACAGGTTTTGATGACATATGACAACACCAGGGAGATACTTGTATTGAAAAGTTTAGCCTTTGCTGTTCTGAAAAGCTCAGGGTCAATCTAAGTGCTTCACAGTCTCCTGAAAGTTCTCCATTTCAAGTCTGTGCTCAGCTCATTGGCTACCTGTATTGGCTGCCCCGGATACACATGCCATTAGACAAGCTCTATGGGGTGTCCATTCAGATGCATGATGAAATATGGGCAATCTATTTGGTCTCTCCCATGGGGAAGGGAAGACCAAACTCCTTTGAGTGATTACAGATTTCTTCCATGAGACTCTGGTGTCTCATGGTGGCGTTAACACAATGTAATTTAAGAAAAAAAAGTATCTAAAGACCTCACTGAGGAGGAATCTCTCCTCCACTTGGATTCAGTGCTGGATTGTCTCTATTGCAGTGGTGAATACTTTTCCTTGAGCCTATATCTCTGTGTTTAATTGCCTCACCTGATGTTTACTATCACAGGGTCCATAAACAGGGTTATTTCTGTTGTTAAATTTTCAAAAGAATATTAAATGATCTCCATATGTGAATGGGAAAGGCCATGCTGTAAAGGAGCTAGTAAGGCAGTGTTCTGTTCTACTGAGTTGAATTTTAATCAACCAACAATAAGCATAATGGTATCTTATTCTATTCCTCTTTGATTCAATTGTGATCAGTTGTTGAATATTGTTTGTGAAAGCCTTGCTTGTCCCCTACAAACATCCTCATTGAGGATGCCCTCAATTCATGTATAGATGACTCAGACTGATTTTATACAGATAGGACAATTGGTATATGTTTGTTTGTCGTTGATCAGGCATGTCTAACTCTTTGTGACCTCATTTGGGGTTTTCTTGGAGGAGACACTAGAGTAGTTTGCCATTTCCTTCTCCAATATAAGTTTGTAGTTGTTGATGTTTTCTCTCACTTTTTTTTCTTTTCTTTTTTGCCATCAGTAGAGTCCAAAATTTTCCCCATATCTTTGGTATACTTTGTAAATCAGGCCCTCAGTGCCCTCACAATCGTATTGCCACCAGCACAGATCTCTGTGTATACTTGATCTACTCCAGCTGCTTTTCTGGTCTGTTTTTGCCTCAGTCCCATTTGTACTTCCTCTGTGAGTCCCTCAGGGACTGTGATGTCAGGGTCCCAGTGTGGTGGTTCCACTCTCCTTGTTGGAGAAAACAATCTTTTCCATTTTCTTTCTGTTTGTAGTCTGCTTTACATTGGGGGGGGGGGAAGAGAATGAATAGATGATCGGTAGGTAGATAGATAAATAGATCCTCACTATGAACCAGGCACTGTGCTAAGTGCTGAAAATTCAAATACAAGTAAAAAGAAAGACCCTGCTGTTGTAAAGAAGCAGAGGTGGAAAGATGGGAGGAGGAGAAAGGGTGAGAAGGTGCCCAAAGGTCCTTGGGGAGACATTGACTGATCCCAGTTTGAAGAGAGTATGATGGTTAGCATAGGTGCTTCCTCAAATGAAAAACCATAACTTACCAATCAGAGGAAGATTCCATGAAATGACTTTGCATGGTTGGATATCTTGCAAAACTTTCTTCAGATTGGTTTTACCTCCCACTGCTTCTCTCTGTTTGATGAAATGAAACTGCCCTTAATCATTCATCATCCTTCTCTGTAAGATTTTAAAGGTGTGTTTGTATTTTAACCTGGTTTTGTATTTACCAGATCTCTCTCTCCACTTAGCCAGCAATTCAAATATTTGCTTACTTAGGTGGGGTTTTGTTTTGTTTTGTTTTTTGTTCTCTTTGTTAC